ACCTCCTAGTTTAGTGTCATCTGCAAACTTGCTGAGAGTGCAGTCCACACCATCCTCCAGATCATTAATAAAGATATTAAACAAAATCGGCCCCAGGACCGACCCTTGGGGCACTCCGCTTGAAGAATTTGTCAAAGAATTCTGCATAAACCAGGAAACAGGCTGATAAAGACTAATATTTCCACCTTCTTGATTAAGTATCATTGCTGTGGAATTATGTCCCAGATAATGTTCAAACTGCTGAATCTATTCCTGCTTTTATATTTCAATTCTACACAGCATTGACTTGGATTTCTCCAATGCCATTGACACTGGGTAACAATGGGAACGGTTATCAACAGTAAAACTGACATTGGCTTCACTGAATGAAGAAGAAATGTTTAGCACAGGAAGATCAGTGGTGAACATTTTGAAAATTCCCCTTTTTCATTCCAGTAACTTTAGGCCTTGTCTATACTTGTGACAATGTGTAGGGTACGTGTAGCTACACATCGCAGTGAAAAGCGATCTACGTCCACAATGCAGTACATAGTTACATGCAACTGTAAAAGACTCTGGCAGCACGATAGACAGGGGAAGCACTGCTTGGGCATGTACGTAGGGTATATATATATTCTAAAGCTCTGGGCTGTCTTTACTCACCTAAGAAGTGCCTTACCATGTACACTGCTATTTATACCTTTGCTAGGGGAGTACAGTATCTGTACACTACACACCACCTTAAGTGAAGACATAGTCTTAATGAAAATCTAAACACTGAAAACTGAAATCTTCTCTTTAACCATAAAGTCAATATTCAGCAGCATGGGCACTAGCTTTGCAAGTTTCCCCAGACTGCCCTGCTAATCCAATTTGCCTCAAACCTAGTCTCAAGAAACCATCTCTATTGGTATGAAAATGTTCACCATGTACATCTACTCCTTGGCCGCCCTTTTCAGTCTACCAATAAGGTTACTGAAAAGTGCCAATTTTTGAACACATCCTCTAAGACATAGTGCAAGGGAAAACTTATTTCATATAAATAACAACAAATAAAAATCTATCAGATAGCATTAACTTTTGATCACCACATTCAACATTTTGTCTGCATTTAAGAAATTATAAGTGAAATGCCCTGCAGTCCATTATCCATTCTGTGAGCCATCCAGTGACTCCTGTTATTAAAACAGCAGTTAGAGTGACTGCTGTCTGATGCTGCATAACAATTCTTACAATTGTCATTGTAAAAATATCAGAAAAAGCACTATATAAATATACTGAAATAAATATGGACCATCCTAAGTGTCATTTTCCAATGGAAATTAGGTATTCACATGTAAGATATTTTAAGCTCCCACATCTTCACAAGAATGTCTCTTCTCTAAATATCCTGGTGTGCTTTCTAATATGCACCCACAGCACAAAACAACGTAAATCAGAATAAATAGGTGGCAAAATATTGACCAGTTTACCTTCAGAGGGATAAGTCCCTGCAGCATGTTAATGCTTTGCATGATCACAAAGGCCTCCAGCATCTCTATCTGATATTCCAAGGTCTGGATGCTGAAGCGGTAGAGTTCTGGGAATGATGAAGTGTACAGCTGACGCAGAATTTCAGCTTCTTGAGGAGAACGTTTTTTCAAAAAGCCCTATTATCCACATGGAGAGGGAGGGAATATCCTTTAATTTCAAATCAAGACTTCAAAATATTTTTAAACGCTGTCAAGATTTTAGTAAAACAGACTCAGGTGACATGCTGACTTACTGAGATTCACCTTTCTTTGGTGATGCAAACAGAAGGCCAAATTCTGCATTCATGTATGTGTATAACTCCCAGTGGAAGTTGCACACACATATTAAAAAACAGAACTGGGCCAAAATCACAGCCAGTCATTCATCACTGCTCATGAGACAAAACTTCCACTTTAATTCTCAATCAGCATAGCTGTTTTAAGTGCATTTCAACTCTGCAAAGTGGCTATATAAAAATGGAGTTAGAGGTAGAACTCAGGGGTTAATTTAGCCTGAATAATTTTTATGTTTGTGAGATGCTACACCAGAACCCACCCAAATTTACCCCCAGAACCCAGTTTGGAAGTTCAAAATAACTGAGCTGAGCATGTCTGGAAGCCACTCAGAGGACAATCATGCGGTCTTAAAATGCTATTTTTTGTTTATCTCTTGGCAGTAAAAATATACCCTATGTCTAATTGATTCCAACATATATATAGTATCTCATTCAACTTCCTCCCTCTCATATTCAAACTAGGCCAAAATTGGAGAAAATTTAGTATCCACTTTTTTTGAATGTCCCTACATGCAATACATCAGGTCAGAGCTTTAGAGAAATACTTATGCTTATCACTGCCTTTTAAATACATATGTAATAAAGGATGGCAAAGCCCCAAGTTGCTCTACTAGGAATACTTTCATCTTCCATATTTGTCTGTAGTTCCAAAGGATAGTCTTGAGGCTTTTGTTTGTATACTTTATTTTGGTGCAGCTTTTCCTGTGTTTACTGCCATTTCTTCTTTTATCCTGCAAGTTCATTTTTCCTGTGTTTGACAATAATTGGTGCACCAATATTGCTGGCCAAAGTTCCATTTTTTTCACCAAAGCCCTGGTTTTGTGTAGTCTGACTCATCTCCAAGCTAATACACCTCTATCTCGATATAACGCTGACCTCAGGAGCCAAAAAAAAATCTTACCGCGTTATAGGTGAAACCACGTTATATCGAACTTGCTTTGATCCGCCGGAGTGCACAGCCCCTCCCACCCCCCCTCCACCCCCCGGAGCGCTGCTTTACCGTGTTATATCAGAATTTGTGTTATATCGGGTCGCGTTATAGCGGGGTAGAGGTGTATTTCTCCAGATACTAATTTCTCTTTTTCCTCACATACCCCTCCTTAATACACCTCAATACAGCATTCACTGCTTGATGCTTGTAGTTCAGAACAGTACTACAATAAGTGAAGAAAAAGCTAAATGGGACTTTTTCCATTTTGGAATCAATTTATCTGTAGTGGTATATACTTTAGCAATGCAGTACTCTATCCAAATACCTACGGCAGATTCAGATGTTTTCAGGCCAAGAGATTTAGAATGGAAAGAAACCATTTAAGATTATTATTTCCTGAATGTGTCAGTTCTGCTAATAATAATTTTAATAGCTCTTATATCTAGCACATACCATGCTTTTTTCCTTCAGGGATAAAGAAGGATTTGAGCATAGAGAAAAATAATTTTAATTTGGTTATGGAAAAAAATAATCAAATCTGACAATGAATGACTCAAGAACATGAAGTGCTACCCTATACTCTTGGAAGATATAGCAAGAATCATGACTATTAACAGCAGAAATATCTGACTGTTGTGCTGATTGACTACAGCTAGGAAGCATACCTTTATGGAGAGAAAATATGAATAAATATCAGAGAGGTAGCTGTGCTGGTCTGTATCCACAAAAACAACAAGGAGTCTGGTGGCACCTTAAAAACTAACAGATTTATTTGGGCATAAGCTTTCATGGGTAAAAAAACCACTTCTTCAGATGCATGGAGTGAAAATTACAGATACAGGCATAAATATACTGGCACACAAAGAGAAGGGAGTATAAATAGATGTGCTGGAGAATAAATAGATGCCATTGGTTCAAATGGCTGAGTCATGAGAGTTTGTTATATTGCGGTTAGGTCTAAGGCCAGAGAAATAGTTTTAACAGTTAGTTTGTATAGGCTTGTTGCCTTGAGGAACCACCCCAATCTGGTAATCTACCAGCCATTAGGATCAATTTGCCTTCATAATACCACATAACTCTATATTATAACCCTCTCCTGACTCAGCTGTGAACCATCTGATCCATACTCTTGGGTAGGACAAAAGGGGTGGAAATTCTGCAGGATGGTAGGCGCTTGTAACCTGGCAGAAATCTCAATTAGGATTTGTTAATCAAGAGTCAAGGTATAGGATCAGGTAATCCTAAATGGGATAAGAGATCCTTTCCTACTGAAAAGATGAATTAAGAGTTCCATTGTCTGAAGCTTTGTTTCTCATGACCAATTTGGGAACAATGAATACAATAGCCATTTCTTCCTATCTGAGCTTCTGATTCATTCTTCCCAGAAGTTGAAGGATGTACATACAAAGGAAATTTTAATTTGTGAGAGAAAGCAATTATTCTCAGTGATCATTTTTCCCTGATGAAAAGATGCCAAATTCATGTTTCAAAAGAAGGTGTGTATGTTCACCAGGAGATAGCCAAAGTTCCTGATGATCAGATAAAAACTTCTTGATTAAAGGATCAGTTTACGAGTGTCTACAGGCTATTTGTGAACAGACTAGCAAACCTCTTTTGTTACATTTAATATATCAGAGGAGTAGCCGTGTTAGTCTGGGTCTGTAAAAAGCAACAGAGAGTCCTGTGGCACCTTTAAGACTAACAGATGTATTGGAGCATAAGTTTTCGTGGGTGGATGCCCACTTCGTCAGAAGCATCCCGCGAAGTGGGGAATTCCCCAC